CAAGTGAGTGGAGTGGTGTGCTCAGCTCCCAAAGGGTTTACACAGGTGTGGGAAGCACCAAGAGAGTGGCCAAGGCCGGCCACCACCTTTATTTATAAGCCCACAAGCAAATAGAGCCATTACCCCTTTGGAGTAGATTCTACGAGGGCACCGGACATGTCGGTGTGGCACCGGACATGGGGTGGCGGTGCCCATCCAATGGTTATCCACTAGCCGTTGGGTCACCAGACAGGGTGGTGGTGGCACCGCCCTAGGGGTGGCGATGACCACCCGGCCACCCCCCGAATACCCATGCCTCTGGAAAAAAGCGGCAGTGCACCACCCTAGGAATGGCGGTGCCCGCAGCGGTGACCAACCCTACTTCAGTTACCTTTGGGTAAAAAGTGGCGGTGGCACCTTCATACCAGCGGTGGTGACCAAGTGGTGCACCGCCCTCACCATGGCGGTGAACACCGGACACTCCGACGCCGCCCTCTCTTCTACTGCTTCTCGGCCAGAGTCAGGTGGACACTGCCCTAGGGGTGGCTGTGCCAACCCAACACTTCCCTCTCGGCCTTGTCCAGCCGGTCACTGCCACAGGGATGGCAGTGCACCGGACAGGGCATGACGGTGCCCCCCAGGGCAGCACCCTAAGCTAAGATTTGCCTCCTTTTCTTCGCCTTTTTCACCACCTTTGCAAATGTGCTAACACTCCAAGTGTTTCACCATCACATGCAAGTGTGTTAGCATTTTCACAATCATTTTTCAAAGGTTAATCACTTCTCACATATTGTGCACTAGGCCTAAAATGCATATGCAAGTTTTCCAACACCTAGTGGCACTAAATGTGATCACACTCTCTATAGTGTCTTGAGCACCGAAAATAAAATGGCCCTATTCATTTTACCTTTGCCTTGAGCCCATTTTGTTTTTCTCTTTCTTCTTTTCCAAGTCTAGAGCATGATCACCATCATCACATGTCCACCATCATCACCATGGACTTCAACTTGCTCCACCACTTGGATTGGACCATCCTATCTAGTCACACACTTAGATGCAAGGATTAGTCGAAATAGGTTTCATCAATTAACCAAAACCAAACTAGGGCTTTCAAAGGTTGTGTAGAGAAACATCGTTAAGCCTCTTCCAAACCTTATGTGCTATGTCTAAGTCTTTGATTGACTCGAAGACCTTGGGATCAAGAGCTTCATAGATCACATTGAGAGCTTGATCATTCAATTACAAATTCTCCTCCTCTCTTGGTGTTGGGTCCTTCATATCTAATACAATGAATGACTCCTCCACAACACCCACAACACCCCATATCTTTTGGCTCATTGCCTTCAAGTGCAAGCACATCCTTTTCTTCCAATAATCATAATTGTTTCCATCAAAGTGTGGGGGCTTGCTGACGTGATTTGTGGCCATCTTTCACACCATAGGTTGTTATACCTTAGATATCGACACTGACTTGGCTCTGATGCCACATGAAAGTAGGATCTAGATTGCTACAGGAGGGTGAATAGCCTATAAAAAATTTTCAACAAAGGCACAAATACTAGAGCAAAGTGGTTAGTAAAATAACAAGTCCTAATAGCTACACTAAGGCACCTCACCAAACAAGAGCTACTAGCTAGGCAAACTATGCTAGAGATCTATACAACAAAGCAACTACTAGTAGTTACTACTACAACTACTCTAGGGAGCTACCTCTACAAGCAACTATGACATAAGCAAGAAGTGAATGTAAATCAACAAGTGTGGAACACAATACCAAACTGGGCAAGAGATGAACACAATGATTTATCCCTGGGGTTAGGTTGCTCGTCGACAACCTACATCCTCATTGTGGCGAGTCTTAATTAATGTGATGATTCATGTGCTAACTAGACACTCAAGATAGACCCATAACTTGGGTGCCACAAGAATCAAATACAAGAAGGATTCTAACTAGTCACGAGAATTCCACTAGAGTTGTTCTTCATGATCTCCCACGGGGATGAGCACAAGAGCCCCTTATAATCAACCCTGATCGGAGGTGGCAAATAATCACCACAAGCCCCTCAACGATCCACCAATCCACTAGGCCATATAGGTGGCGACAACCACTAAGAGTAACAAGAATAAAACTAAGGCTCCACCGATGAACTAGTGCCACTAGATGCAATGATGGGTTTAGTTGCCGAAGATGAACCTTTGGAAAGATCGGTGACACTGAGTCTTTCTCAAAAGTGCTTTCAGGTTCTCGATGAAGTTTGTCGGCAAAGTGAAACTAGTTATACACTACCCTATTTTCACACAACAGAGAAAATAGACAAGGGTAAGCCTAGCAGAGTAGTCATGAAGAATTATCTATATAATCTCAAGTAGCAATGTATCAAAATTTTATAACCAGTGCCTTCCTCGGCAATGGCGCCAATGCTTGTTGGTATTCTTAACGTTTGCATATAAAATCCACAAGTGCAAGGATATCGTTGTAACATTTCCTTGGTTGTATTCCAGGTATCATTATTTGTTTTTCCGCAGGGCAGGTGTTGATATAAAGTAATGATATTTGACATCCTTAGGATTATAACATAACTAAACACCAAAGTCTAATCATGGGTAAATAATATGATAATTGTAGTGTGACACACACAAAGAATAACACTAGGCCTAGTGGCGAACATGCAACAACAAACTCAACTACTATGTCACATCTATGTAAAGGTTCTATAGCATACATATATGTACTTAGCAACTAGTATTAGAACTTAGATTGAACACCTCAGATATGTCAGGTGTTGCCTACAACATAGTGGTAGCTAGGAAGCGCAATGTCTTATCAATAACCTACGTCATACCCGAACATGGGGGATTACAAAGGACGGATAGGGCTGTCACCACCTACCACCTAACCTACAATCCATGGAGTAAGAAGCACATCCGACGATGTCTACTAGCCCAAACACCATGTTTAAACTAGCAAACACTACTCTTATTACACTAGCAAACACTACTTTTATCCTCTCGTCAAGAACAAGAGTAAACCAAAGGCACGCCGGACCAATATCCAAGTATGAATTATTCGTTCTACTATCACATTGCAAAGTAACATGTAAAGTATGTAACCAACATAATATCATGATCATACTAGTATGCAAACTCATAGCTAACATAATCATAACATTATACGAATGATGACCATAACAGAGCAAAAGATGAATATGCCATTGATTTAGACCAAAGTCTTACAAGAATATGAACTAGAAGAGAACCCTAGTACAACTCACCAAGACAACTCAGGAGTTATGAACTAGCTTGAAATGGCCTAACTCCACTAAGAACCTAGAGCTAGAATGGTTACAAGTGTACGTGTATTGAGGCCTCCTGTTGTGTGGTACTGAGAGCTAGGCGGGTATACTATGGTTTTATAGTCGCCAAGGACCATAGGAGGCGGTACAACAAATTGGGCGCCTTTATGAGCTAGAGACGGTTCAGCCGAACCGCCTTCTCCCAATGGGATCCATAGCCTGTGGATGGACAGCATGGATAGCTTGATGAAGGTGTTTGCATGGCCTAGGTGGATCGACCGATCCCTTGGATGGCCTAGGTTTGGCCAAACCTAGCCTGGCTCCTCATGGGCCCATCTTTGGTGGGCTAGTTGCCGGGTAGATGTTGACTTTGTCCCTTGTTGTGTCAACTTGTTTTGGGCCTAATATGCATGAGTTCGGCCTTTTTTCCTTTGTGTGTTTTGGCGATTTGTCGCGTTGATAAGAGACGAGCTTCTTCACCACTTGCACATATATTCTATGCATTTTAGGTTAAAGTGTACTGGCAACCAAAGTGGAAATATATTATTTGAACCTAAATATGCATGCTAGTGGTGTTAGGCCTTGTTTAGATGCCAAAAAATTTGGCAAAATGCACTGTAGCGGTTTTTGTTGTTATTTGGTAATTAGTGTCCAATCATAGTCTAATTAGTCTTAAAAGATTCGTCTCGTGGATTTCGTCTAAACTGTGTAATTATTTTTATTTTTTAATTATATTTAATGCTTCATGCATGCGTCTAAAGATTCGATGTGACGGGGAATCTTGAAAAATTTGGCAAAATTTTGGGGAACTAAACTGGCTCTTAGTTCTCCATTATTTCCAAGATAATAGACGGTAAAATTTGGTGCTTATTGACAGTCATCAGGGACCAAAGAAATCAGGTACATAAAAACGAGATGAAAACGTACCCTCATGAGTAACATGATAAGATGTACCATCAGCTGTGTAGATAGTAGTACTGTCAACGATTTGGTTGCAGTCAATCAATTGAGTCATTTTTTATGCTACATGGAAAGAAGCCCATGAATCCAAAACCCAAGACTGAGGAGCAATGTTATGAGAGGCAGCATCACCAAACTTTAGCACACCACTGCAGCGGAACAGCACCACAGCAGCAGGACGAAGGCCACATGAGGCACAACAAACAAAGTGCAGATGACAATCTGGTACTCCAATTAGATGACCTGAACAGGCCGATGGACGTACGCAACCTGGCACAGGTGAGTCACGATGTGCCGATGCAGCGACGGGCTTCACTGGTGGACGGCATATGAGCCACAGCAGTCACGAAGATAAGACGGGGCGGCAAGAGGCCGTACCGGTCGAAAGTCGAAACACAGGAGGGATCCCCAAAATAAAATGGATTAGATTAATCTAACCCTAACCCCGATCCTTGGCTTTGGTACTATTTTACTAACCTTTAATTCCAAAACAGACCACGTTCTGTCCAAGCCAAAACAGCCAACGAGGGAGACAGATCAACATGCCCCGCTATTAACAAGGCCTACGGTACTATCATCCGGAAAAAATGGGTATCATGCAAACCCAGTATAACATACAGCAGCATTGAAAGAATCTCTTGGCATCTTGTAGTTTTGCTACATAGATGCTCCCTGCAAGATGCCATTTACAGTAACAGCTCGTACCAATGCCTTCCAGTGCAGAACATCAGCTGCGCAGAGCAAAATAAAAAGACTCATGTGATCAGGTTAATTCTCAGATCCATCAGGAAGGTCGTCGAGGATGAACGGCCCAAGCTTCCCTGATCTGAAGAGAGTCAGCAGCTTCTTAGAGGTAGGGCCCTGCGTTTCATCGAACGGCTTATGAGGTATCCTGAACACCTTGCGGAGCGCCACAAGCTGCATGTCTATGAGGGTTTCCAGTTCACTTTCTTCCTCAGTGTTGCCGGTGAAGTTCAGGAATGTATGGCATAGTGTCCTCTGCACCTCCGTCACTAAATCCTAGAACAGAAGGGGGTTTGTTAGTATCGTTGGAAAAATGGGAAGTACGGTTAGGTAGAGAAACAGAGTGCTAACAGTACAACTTGTTTGGTTGAATAATTGAACTCCCACAGATCAGAACACCCTAAATGGCAAGCATACTTTTTTTTTTTACTAAACAGAATACCAGGTCAAGAAATGTATGTGAATTCTTTCAACAATGTCTAAAAAGTGAATAGTCATCAACATGATATGACCAGTGGACATGATCATGTCATGTGGGGCAAACAGTACAAGCGCCGGGCGCGCACTAGGGACGTGGCCAGAAGTATGCCGAGCGCGCTGCGCACGACGTAGGAGCGCAATGACCGCGGCCAGAGAGGGACTGCGAGCGTTCAGTTTGGCAAGTGCCTAGAATTAGGAGATTTCCATCTCCAGTTTGGTAGTAGCCAAGGGCCTATTTACCTCTTGTATGACACTCGATTGAGATTAAGCAATATCAGATTACTTCCTAATCCCCTCTTCTTCTTCCTAATCTCCCTCCTTCACCATAGGGCGTCGAGGGGATAAACCCCGCGCCATTACCAACCGAGACTACGAACTCCGTAGCCGAGTTCCTGCCTCCCTGAAACACCCTTGACAGATGTGTCCTGTTGGACTCACCACACCAACTACACATGGCATGATCTGCCAGGTTGGATGCTGTCGGTGGCCCATGTGACCAAACGCACCCCAAAAGTAGTATGACCAAACAAAGTTAAAATCATAATCCCACCCCCAATGTTTTGGTAACACACACCAACCGAGCACATGATACCAAGAGGTTCAATATGACAAAAGAACCAAAAGACTACCATGCCCACATAAGTAGTTCAGCCTAATGCCGTAATGCGTTGAGGCACAAGGGCCTGTTTGGTTGCTGCCCCTGGCAGACAAATAGAAGCACTAGGCATGAGTGGAAATGTCCCCACAGCAATGATAGCTCATGGATTATACTTTCAGATAAGAGGTAGAACCTGAACATATATGGCATCAGAGTTATTCAACCGTCTCCTCCGTAATGAATTGTCTTTTTTATTGCTGCTGCATATCTCTTCACACAACTCTTCTTCTCTGTGCAACAACCGCTCCCAGTGTAGAGGTGTCTTTCTAATGTTAAGAAGAGATAATAAATATTTTGCTATACGTTCTTCCCCGACTACCGAGTCTTTAACAGCTCCTGCATATGATTGAAAAGGATGCTATATTGATTTAGCAGTGGAAGAATGTAACAATAAAATTTTCTTTCAGAAAAAAGAATGTAACGATACAAATATTAATAGACTAAAACTGAAATCATGATTAACTTTGATTATTGTCTATCTATGCACAAATCACAGAAAGATGAGTAGATGACACAAAAAAAACATGTCCCAATGTTTTACCTGTTAAAGCAAGCTTTAAACCTGTCTCCATATCTGGTATGCTTGGCACAAGAACACCAGGTGTATCAAGCACATAAATACTGGGCTGAGTTGCAATCTGTCCATGACAAATATGGCTGTTAGTTTATTCAGTTGATCACTAAAGAAAAGAAACCACAAATCTCAGAAAACAGATATTACTTGTACTGTTAAACCATTCAGTGGAATAGGAATCTAGAAGAGTTGTACTGTAATAACTACTATAAATAAGATATCCTCTTTTCAGAACTCCCAAATGCAACAGATGGAACAGGGTATCTTATTTAACAATACTCGTATCCATTTAGTGGAACAGGACTCGTGCAGATGAACCCAAATGCAAGAGGTACCAATGCCCAAGTTATTACTATTATTAAATAACACATCCTATATTCTCAGATGCAACAGATGAGAATATTCCAATCATATTAGAGCATGTTTAACAGAGCTCCCAATCTAACAATTAATGGATCAAGGAAAATCCCCTGTTAGGCCGAAAATTCACTGGGTCAAATGAAAGGGCCTCACCTACGTCAGACTCGATAGGGTTTTTTGTTGTGCTGGATGGGAGGACATCTTCCCGGATTCCATACTGCAGAGTACAGCTTCAGCTGTTTCAGATCACTGCCCCTCATCTTGGGCTGAGTTAACACCCGTGGCAAATGACAATTTCATTTTGAGAACTTTTGGCCAAAGCTTCCGGGATTCAATGAGGCCGTGCAGCAGAATTGGACTGTTCCCATGGCATCCACCTGTGCGGTTGAGCGTCCTGTTTCTCAAATTGCAGCGGCTAAGCATTGGACTTCAGAAATGGAGGAAAAATAGACAATGTCAACACCCAGCAAGGCATGGCAAAGGAGATTTTACATCGGCTTGAGATAGCTAGGGACTCAAGGGATCTCTCCCCTGGAGAGGAGTGGTTGAGGAAGAAATTAAAACTCCACTGCCTAGGTGTTATGGTAGGCCAGGTCTATCAGCGCCGTAAGCGCAGCCATGGCTGAGCAGCGGCAACAGCTCGCGCACGGCACGCGGCCTCTGCATGGTGACCGTGTCCAGAGTGGGCGCCGTTCCTAGAGTCTAGGATCTCAGATTCAGTCCAGTTAGTCGATTTGAAGTTTGTTAGTCAGTTTGGTGAGTTTGTTAGGATGTGGCTATAAAGCCAAAACACTTGGTTAATGATAAGTTCAGCTGGAGATTGATTAATCTCTCCCGCTCCCTCTGTTTCCTTGCGCTCTCGTTCTCTCTGTTTCGACACCGACCGCCAGGACGGCGTCGCAACCTCGCCGCCGCCGTGAGATCAAGCCACGCCCGCCTACCTCCCACGACTACTTCCTGAGGGGCAGTAGCAGCGATCCCAACACTAGGCTTGGCCTCACTTGAGCATACTATTGCTCGACTTCGCTCAAGGATTCTTCACATCCGGGAGGGCGATACTAATACCTCCTTTTTTCACCAGCATGCCCAGTTTCGTAGGAAGAATTTCATTGCTAAGCTGTAGGTGGGAGACAGCCTCGTCACATCTCAGGAAGACAAACACAAGACTGTTTTCAATTTTATGAACAACTGCTGGGATCAGACGTGGACAGAAATTGTACTCTAAACGTCCCTGCCATCCACAACAGTAAGCATGATTTGTCTTCCTTGGAGGAACCTTTTCCAGAGGAGGTGTGGGCAACCATCAAAATGAAGCCCCTCGATAACACCACTGGACCCAATAGCTTCACTAGTAGATTTTATAAGTTCTGTTGGGAAATTATCAAGAATGATTTGCTGCAAGCACTTCCGTCTATCCAACGAGGGCATGTTTTTAAGTTCAGATTACTCAACACGGCTTTCATTACTCTCCTTCCCAAAAAAGTTGACGCCTCACAAGTCAAGGACTACCGACCAATTAGCCTAATCCATAGTTTTGCTAAATTGGTTGCTAAGCTCATGGCAAATCGACTAGCTCCTATTCTCCCAGATTTGGTCTCTGTGAATCAAAGCGCTTTTGTCAAAGGAAGAAATATTCAGGATAATTTCTTATTGGTACAATAAATGGCAAGATGTTTGCATGGGAAAAAAAGAACCTCACATCCTTCTTAAATTGGATATTTCCAAGGCTTTTGATTCGGTTGCCTGCCCTTTTCTCCTGGAAGTTTTACAACAGCTAGGTTTTGGACACCGATGGTGCAATCTGCTCTGCTTGCTGCTATCAACATCAACCACTCAGATTTTGTTGAATGGTGAACCTGGGGAAATGATCCACATCATCGAGGCCTTCGCCAAGGTGACCCTCTATCCCCAATGCTTTTCATTCTTGTCATGGATGTGCTGAATACCATGATTAATCTTGCTTCAAATGAGCACCTCCTGCAGCCTTAGGCAGTACAACAGATTAAGCACAGGATCTCTTTCTATGCAGATGTCGAAAGCAGACTTGCTACCTTTAATTGACAAGGTCGCCGACAACCTACCAGGATGGAAAGCTTCTCTAATGAACAGGGCTGGTAAGCTTGTCATGGTCCAGGCTGTTTTAACAGCCATTCCCATTTACCTCATGATCGCCTTGGATTTGCCTTGGATCGTCTTCGATAAAGGCTATTGACAAAAGGCGTAGGAGCTTTCTTTGGAAAGGCCGGGAGAATGACAATGGGGGCAATTGCCTGGTTTCTTGGAGAAAGGTGCAACAACCACTTCAACATGGTGGTCTTGATATCCATAGTCTCGAAACCTTGGGTTGTGCTTTACACATCCGGTGGCTATGGTTGCAGAAAACAGATCCATCAAGGCCCTGGACAGGTCTGCCCATTCAAGTCCCAGGAAATGCTCATGCTCTTTTTGGAATTGCAGTAAAATCTGTGGTTGGGAATGGAGAATCAACTAAATTTGGACTGATCGGTGGCTCCAAGGAAAAACAGTCCTGGAATTGGCTCCGAACCTTTTCAACTTAATCTCCAAAAGGGCAGGAAAGCATAGGAGGGTTGCAGAAGCCCTAATTAATAGAAGATGGGTTTCTGATATAGGGGAGCATTAACAGTCCAAGTGCTCACTGAATATCTTCTGATTTGGGACTTTGTGGACAGCATGGTCCTTGACCCGGCAGTTGATGATCAGCATCTCTGGACACTATCAATCTCAGGAAAATACAGCAGTAAATCTGCATGTGGCTTTTTTCACAGAATTGATCATATTTGCACCATGGAAACGCATCTGGAAAAGTTGGGCCCCGCTACATTGCAAGCTCTTCATTTTGCTTGGTATATAGATGATGGGCAGCTGACCGCTTGCTAAGAGAGGTCTGACACACCTGGCAGCCTGTCCCCTTTGTGACAATTCAGCACATCCTCGTCTCATGTGTTTTTTCAAGGCAGGTTTGGGCAGTCTTCTTCCAGAGGCTGGGTCTATTTGATCAGGCACCTCAACCTTCTGTATCTCATTTCTCTAGTTGATGGTGCAATGCTATCAATGGACTACCTAAAGTTCTGGGAAAAGGACTTAATACATTGATCATTCTAGTAGTCTGGGAAGTTTGGAAGCATAGAAACTCTGTTTTTTAAGTAGCTAGCCCCTGTGTTCAGATGGTACTGCACAAAGTGGGGGAGGAATGTGTCCTTTGGTGCTCTGCTGGACTCTCAGCAAACTCGCTAGGTTGCTCTTGTTATGGGGCATCAGTTAGGGAGCCATAGGATCAATTAGAAGGATCGGATTAGATTTGAGTCAATTAAAGATAAGATTGGATATGGTTTCCTAGGATTTGATTGGGCCTTCCATAGGAGTCATGGAATGCTATCTATATAAAGGGGAGCTGATGGATGAAGAAACAAGGAAGAAGAACAAACAATCCAATTCCCCCAAGTACTCTAGTCTCCCTTCCAAGCCGACTTTGCCCAGCTATCTTCCTGGCAATGGTTATCCCCAAATGAACTAAAGTTCATAACAGCTCTCCCCAGGCGTCCTATCTTGAGGGGATGTTTTTTTCTGGTCGAGGTCATATTTTTGTTTCAGTTTTGTAATAGGAGTTGGTGCTTTGTAACGGGTTGGGACTTGGAGAGGCCTCTTGATCTCTCCCTGTACTATTTTTCTTCTTAATTTAATGACACAGCTCTCCTGCGTTGTTCGAGAAACAAAAAAGTTAAAAAAAATGCATATACCATGAATCAGGTGTTTCATGCAGTAATAAAAATGTAGGGCCCATGCAATTTTTGCCAGAGAATGCACATCATTTTTAATGAATCATACTCCATGGGTGTGTGTGCCTCAATCTTCCCTTTTACAACATTTACTGTTAACATCAAGTGACAAAAAGAAAGATGTTCATAATGACAGTGTCCCACATAAATAACAGCAGTTAGGAGGCAAAATGGTTAACATAGATGATCTTCATGTTTTCTGTTGTCTAGCAAAATAATACGGAAAGAATAAAAACATAAATATAAAGGAGTCTTTGATGTTAAAGAAACATTGGCTCAACAGCATTACCTTATACCCTGCAATATCTTGTGTAACACCTGGCAGAGGCCCCACTGTAGCCCGTTTATTTTTATCTTTCACTGGATATACAGCAATATAAACATGGATCACAAACAATAAAAAATGACTTAATTTCTTCTGAAATTATTATACCTGGAAATCGAGAAGTAGCAATTCTATGAATGGAATTTATGAGTGCAGACTTGCCAACATTAGGGACACCAACAAGCATAATCAGAAGGGTGGGCTCCTTTGAGATTGCTTCCTTTAGTTTCAGCTCAGCAAAACCAAGAAGCTGTAAATACAAAAAAAAAATCAATAACAGACTTTAAACTATAATGTACATTAAAGACAACACACAGTATCATCTGGGATCAAACTGATAGAACAGTTCACCCCAATGGTTACATACCTTTGATTGTCATATGGATCCTAAAAAATGCCAAAACCCTGTCTATATCATAATGAAAATATTAACATCATTTTGTTTGACACATATGTGTCATATGCACCTTATGCGTGTATATATAGGGCCTGTGCGCTCATAGCACAGCCAGCACTATTGGGTTGGTTAGGGATAGGAGAGGGAATCTTGATTGATTCTGTTTCCATATATACATGTACCTTGTATCCTAATCAGTCAATCTATTATTGCAAGCAATCCTCATTGCTTACAATTTTTTTATCGGAGTCATCAGTCATGTCTCCCATATAGAAAAAGGTTATGCAAAATAGAGGCCATTGATTGGAATATGTGGAGGCCTTTGTGGTAAAAGTGAAGGCACCTAAAGAGCTTTTTCTGTAAGTATTGCTTCCTTCCTTTGCTTTTTGCAGCAAAACTTGAATTCTGGGAATTCTGAGAGGAACAGAGAAAAATAATGGAGAATGCTTCTTCAACTACAATTTTCGTGTAACATACAACTTCATATACTTCCAGTAGTTCACTCAAGTCAAGTATTAAACACAGCAACTAAATCTCAATCCAGTGCATCGAGTAAAATCATACTCTGATGATAACTTGCTTGAAACTATTTGAAAGAATTATTTTGAAACAAGAGAGATTTCATGTTATACCACTAGAGTTCATGGCTTACTTTTTTTTGCCATTGTTTATTGTTGAATTCTTAAAGACCTGTACTAGTCATATAGAAAATGATGATGATTTTAACTGACCTTTTAAGAAATTATGAGATAAAAAAATATACTGTATACTACAGAATTACACAACTTGATACTCACTCAACCATAAACCTTCCAGCACAAAAATATATAGTGTGAAGTTTCAATGACAAAAATGCATAAACATGAAACTGACAGATAAGTAACCTGATTAACAGAAGTGCAGCTATGTGCATTTACTGAAATACAATCCTGCTTGCATGATTCAAAATGATTAATCCACCTCTGTAAATAAAAAGTAAATATGAACCTGTGATGGTCAGTACATAGAAAAAGTGAACAACAAACTATAATGAGTTAATCAAAATTGGAATATGTGGAGAACATTAAACCAACCAGCATACACATTTTTATTTTTTAAATAAATGTAAATAAGAAGGAAGTGAGGATTGCAGGCTGAGAGACTGAGCCATACATACATTCATTATATTGGGGTTTGCAAGATCCTTCTTGTTTAGAGCAAGAATTCGCCTCTTTGCTGAGAGCACTGGTTGAAGGTCTTTATTTGCTGAGGATAATGGAATCTGGTCATAAGTACAGTAGCAGTACACCGATAATCAGAGAAGTAAAGAACAGTAAGCAAGTATATGCTATGTACATAAGATGGCAAAGGAAGGGGGAAAACTTTGAAATCAGCCCCATCAAATATTTTTCGCCAGGTTTGTTGGGGACTGATTGAGAGGGGCCGTTGAGCATGAGTGTCATGCAGGACACTACAGGCGTCAACTGAAGGAGAAGAGCGACGTTTTTATAGTCGGATGGCGCACAGTAGAACTATATCTGGCAGTGTCTTATTCTAGTACTTAAGTGTCATGTTATGTAAGACCAAACTCAGTTCATTGCTTATTCAGAAAACACTCGACAGAGCTGAGGACGGTTCCTCCTCTCTGCGAATCTACCACTCCAAATATTGTATTTCTTGTGTGCTCATGTCGACGGCGATCAGCCGGCGGTCACAAGTGTATCGGGTAATAATAATGTAATATACTACTGCAGACTAGATTGATATGATGAGCAATCCTGGTATATCATAACTTCCTTAAGTTCTGTTTGACTGTTGTATTTTCTATCTATATAGTAGATAATCTTATTATTCCATTGCCTCGCAAGTTTTACTCAAGCAAGGTATTCATTCGGTCGAACACCAACCGAGCGCCAAGAGCAGCCCTGACCCCGAACGCCCGTGCCAACAACGCGCGGCGCTCAGTAAGCTAGGCAGAGAAGAGAGGAGGGGGGCGCGGGGGACTCACGCGGGCGTCGCGGACCTCGATGACGAGGTCGGCGAGCTTGAGACGGTCGCGGATGGCACGGGAGGCCGCGGCCATGTGGCCCGGGAACCAGTTGACGGCGCCACCGGCGGCGTTGAACGCCATCTCCCCGGCGCGCTTCGCCGCGCGTCTCAACCCCCGCATCCTGTACCCCGGCCGCTCCCTCTATGCCAGTGGCACCTGCTCTCGGGTTCGCTCGGCAGGAGAGTGGACCACTCCGCCGCCGGCCCGCCTGTGCTTGTGCTTGTGCGGAAAAGCGCAAAAAACCTAGTCTGAGTCCTCGTTTCGTTGGGCCGCCAGTGTTTTCGAGTGTATTGGACCCCAAAACCCGTCGCACTTGGAAGCCAGCCCACGCTCGGTCCAGTTTTGTACTCCTGGCACTGGCAGGCCCCAAGCGCAACTGGTTTGGCCCAAGTTCATTCACAAACTTGGGAGTTCACCCATGTTGAATGGTTCCACTCAAAAAAAAGAAAAAACATGTTGAATGGTTCCACTAAAAATGTTTGATGGATTTTCGTACACTAAAGCCCTCACTAAATTATTGACGCCGTACCTTTGATAAAAGAGACGTGGAGTGATATGTGCAGGTTTTGAAGCCGGCAGTACGTATGCATTTTGTGTTTTTTTGTTCTAAAATAAAATAGTGAGAAATAATATAAGGAAAGAACTATTATGAGTGTACGTGCGTGGCTAGCAAATACATACTACGGCGTAATATTTTATCATCGTTCGGCGTCGATGCACGTGTACATATATATTTATTTGCATCATATAATTAATTGGCTGTGTCGTCGACAGACATGAGCATGCATCCGGGAGTCAACTGAATTGCGATTAAGCTACTATGGCCATGTTCGCTTATTTTTCTTTCACAACAGATCAGTGAATAGTACTTTCAGCTATGGCTTTTCAGCGAAATAAATAGGACCTATATTTATTATATATATATATATATATATATATATATATGTATGTATAGATGGTCCATTATGTACTGGCTGGAAGACAAGCCGTGCTTCACAAATGGAAAGGTAGCCAGTTATATATACTCGCTACCATCACAGGACAAAAAAATCCATGTGTTTTTTTTTACGCTAAAACACATGTGTGTTGTATAGCATTTCTATATTTGAGTCTGTCTATTCAACAATTATGTGTTTTATGCAGTTTTAACACATGAATTTTTTTGCGCCATAGAATTAAGATCAACAGCCTCTAGCCTTCTTCTACATCCAGCCTTCTTCTACATCCAGACAATCACAAATCACAGATCCACAGATCACAAGAAATAAATTTTTTCCATGCAAGGACAAAAAAAAAGGATATGTGATTCCACCGTGCAATCCTCTAACAAAACCACGTCCCTAGCCCAATCTTATTTCCGTACCAGCGGTCGTTCCTTGATTCCGCCGTGCACTCCTTGTGCGCGGAGTCCCTGAGCCAGGTAGGGGGCTGGGGGCACGCACACAAAAAAATCGGTTTTGATGGTACCATCACAGGACAAAAAAATCCATGTGCTTTTTTTTTGCGCTAAAACACATATGTGTTGTATAGCATTTCTATATTTTTTTCCACCACGGTAAAACCAAATTTCATTACGAAATTACACAGTTTAACAGTACTGCAAGAAACGTACGTAAACAAAAGCTAACGCCCAGCCACTAGGCTAATCACCAAAGGGATCAGCGAACATGGCCCAACTTGACCTACCAGCAGAACTACTCGCAAAAACACCTGCCCAAGCACGCCAAACGAACCAAAAGAGGGTCATTACAGGCCCAAGGAATAATACGCACTCACCTGGTGATCCTATCTATGGCAAGTATCTATCAAGCTGATTGGTTGGTGCTCATATATAAAAAGAAAGAAGAAAACGATACAAAAGCTAACAAGGAAATAATATGAATATGGGTATTATTAATTAGGCAGCTGTAGGGTCATTAGCTGCATCGCCGTTGGCCTATAAAAGGAGAGCCGCTACACACGCCAGGGAGCGAGGGTCCGCAGGCACACACACACACACTCATACGAGAGGAGGAGACTGTGTCTCACACCAACACACGCTATATAGCTCACACACTCAGACCAGACACGCACACGCCAGTACATAATACAGATCGAGAAGGCAAAGCTCCAGCTTCGTCGCCGGCCGGCCGGCCGGCCACGTACATGGGAGACGCCAGGAGATCAGCTAGTAGTTGCTGGATGGTGGAGATCATGGCCGGCACATACAGGTAGTCACACAAACTGGTCTCTCTCTATTTCCTCAGTTACATGCACGCCGAGAAGATTTTCTTCAGCCAGATTGTCACCGGATCGGAGATGCCGCCGAGAAGATCCGATCCATAGCTGCGAGCCTGTGAAGATGCCGCCGAGAAGGTCGATCGCTACGATCGAGCCTATGAAGATGCTGCCGAGAAGGTCGATAGCTACGAGCGAGCCTAGCTATGAAGCAGATCGATGCTGCCGAGAAGATCGATAGCTACGAGTCCGTGATGATCGGATCCATCGCCGCTGCCGAGACCACCGTCGTCGCACTCGTGCATTGCCTATCGACATGGGTCACTGCACCATCATTGTTATCTTCGGCGAGCTCAGTCTTCTAAACCTCAAATCAACCCCGCGCATGTCTAACGAAGAAGCCAACGAAGCCGGCGCTGACGTACCACGCCGGCATGCTGCTGCTGATGCTAGCTCATTGAGGCAGCCACAAACGACGTCTGATGGCTAGCTGTACGTTGAGTTCTTCGCGCCATCGGGAGGGGTACGGTCCGGTCCTTCCTAGGGAGCTGCTTCGTTGAAGCCCATCAGTTACATCGACAAATAATAAAAGCGCCATCTAGCTGGTGCACGAATGTGTCTTCCATTCCAAAGCAACTTTTTTGGTGCATACATGCACATCGAGGATGTGCTATCTCAGCCGTCCACACTGTGCTTCGAGATACGTGTAATGCCAAACAGTAGTGTGTGCGCAGCACGAATCTCAAAGCAGTTTTGAACGGTGCAGATAGCACATATGCGACGAGGCCGAGAGCACAAACTGTCATCTCGTCGACTGTCTGAGCCGGAGATTGGGTTATCTTAATTGTTGAGCAACTTTAATATTTATTCGTCAATATCAAGTCGACGCTTCGTTTCTTCTTCATGCATATTACCAACCAACCAATGACGTTCACACGTCGCCCATGACCGACGAGGCCATGGATCATGCCAACGCCTACACCTACATTATCATCCATCTACCATCATCATGCACGGAGAAGGCAAAAGCTAAGACGACGGCCACGCGCAGCTTAATTTTGTTGATCAAAGAATTAATGAAATGCATGTTTTCTCTACCTACTTGCCTTTGTTTGTGTACTTAGTACACTGGCACACCCGCAATTTGTATATTTTATTTTATCCCGCGTGTTTTGCTTTTTTGTCACAAATAGTTGGCCAAATTGTTTTTATTTTCTTCCATTTTTCCATGTTTTTTTACAGTTATCTAATTATGTTTTCCAAAGTAAATAATGAGAATTGAAATTTATATTCCCTAGTCTATGGCTCCATGGAAATATACACTGATGATAAATTTCACGTGCATCATGCTTTTTGGAACTAGAAGCATACCCCGCGCGTTGCCGCGGGTTTTTTCTAAAAATAAATATGTTGTATACATAACATTACTATATGGTATTTTGTATACTATGTATATATATGAATTTGACTTGCATGTTATTTTATTGTATCAGATCTGGCAAAAAATCGGTAAGTTAATAGAAGAAAAACCAATAGAATATATATGTGATTACGTTATAGAGCAATAGATGACGAAACAAATAGCGTATGTAGATGACTTGTATATTAATAGATTAAAGATTAAAAGTATTGCACATGATAGAGATGACATGGATATTTTTTTGTAATTAATAAAGATGACATGGACTTAGTGGGGAATGATGTGGACACCTTGCATAAAGAGATAGAACATCTAGTGGGGTCACTTAGTGGAAAATGATATGGACCCTTGGTAATTAATAAGGGATGACATGGACTTAGTGGAGAATGATGTCGACACCTCGCATGAAGAGATAGAACATCTAGTGAGGTCACTTAGTGAAAAATGATGTAGAAACCTTGCATGAAGAGAAAATCATTTAGTGGGGTTTAGCTTTACAAGAGTATATAGAGGTCACTTAGTGGAGAAAATGATGTGGACACCTTGCATGAAGAGAAAAATCATTTAGTGGGGTTTAGCTTTATAAGAGTATATAGATTGTATGATCTTATATAGTTTTGTTGTGGCCAATTAAATCTTAAAGTCATGGTTACGTTGTTTGGTGACCATTATCAACGTGGACCCAATCGAATTCTCCTATTTCCGATTCTCTGACATTTCGCTTACTATTTTCCCGACCAAGGTTCCCGATTCCATTTTCGTTTTGTGAAACTAAAAGTGGCTAGAGACTTTTCCCGACCTTTTTGACTATTTTCATCCCTAATCTAACTAAATGACACCTTAGGGAACATTGGGCATCGGAAGAACATGTAACATCCTTGTTATGTCCGAACGATTATGTCCTATTGAGTCTAGTAAACTTGTTATGTCTAAATATGGAAACTTTGTTGGTGAAGGCCTTCAATGCATGCAAACGCCCTCCACCACCGCCTCCTATATATAAACGTTACTAATGGTTCTTCAATGCTTGTGGCACATTATAACTCTAACTAAAACCCTAATGGATCATAATCCCTCTGAGCCTATTCGTTGATCCAATATGGTTGGTCTCTAGGGCATATTATATATGTACATAAAACATGGTCTTCTAGAGAAGTTGAATATGCCTCTCATGCGGCCTTTGCAAATCTACTTTATCAACATACCCCATGCTTTCCATAAGTGAGCTAAGGAGCATCATTTCGTCAAAATAATAACGACCACTAATTTCTGTGATAATGGAAATGGCTTATCACATTTCAAAAAATGACCTAGAAAAAGCTCTCAACTACTGGTACATATACCGTTTTAGAGCTTCTTTCTTTAGATAATCATGGAACCAGTTCTGCAATCAACATATGTCGTCGGGAAACAAAACTAACTATGGTGGGCAATGTCATCCAAA